CATTAGGCATAAATCACAGAAAAAATCCAAATCTTCTAAGGCCTATCCATCAGTCCAGCTAGTGGGAATGCTCATCTTCTTGCTCCTCACTGTTTGCGGCATGATCCAATCTTCCACAATCAGGAAGATCATTGGTGATAGTAGGCGGCAACCTTGTCTTACTCCTGTCTTCATTTCAAAGGCGTCACTGAGCTTTACACTGTGAATCACTTGGCATGTAGCATATAGGTGTTAAATGGGATTGATAAAGGTTTGCGTCACTAAAAGCGTAGTGTCGAAGCAGCTGCCTGCCAAATTATTTCTCCATCGACGATGCCGAAGGCCTATCCAAAATCGATGAATTTGAAGCAGAGAGTTGACTGAGGTTCTATGCTCTGTTTTATGATGATGCGTAGCGTTGCAATTTGGTCCACACATGATGTGTACTTTTTGAATCCAGCCTGTTACGATGGCAATTTTGAATCCAGCGCATCCTAAGGATGATCCGGACTAATATTTTACTTAATGTGGAAGTGAGCATGATTCCGTAATAGTTCTTTCAGAGACTTAGGTGGCCTTTCTTTGGAGCTTGACAAAGTAGCTCTTCTTCCGCTCAGCAGGTACTTTTCCTCGCTTCCTTCCTTCCAAACCTTCTGCAATAGTGGTGTGAGCGTGTCTGCTGTTGTCTCTGCGTCCGTTTTCAGTGCTTCTGGCGGTATTCCATCTGGTCCTGCTGCTTCCCCGGATTTCAGTGACGTTGTGGCGTTCAGGGCTTCACTTCTGCTTTGTCGGAGGGTTTGTGTTCACTGGTAGTTTTGTGGCTGGGATGTTGGTGCTGTTTCTGAACGGGTTGTAGATGATGGTGGTGGCCGATCCAAGAGTTTTTTGAAGTGGTTCGCCCATTGTTTCCTTTGTTTATCCCCTTCGGTAATTAGCTTTTCTTAACTATCTTTCACTGGTTCTATCTACATTGATCTATTCCCAGATAGCAGTCTGGTTATTCGACATAGTATTGTCAAGTCTCTCCTACCATAAGCCTGTTATGCTTCACTTGTTAGTGTGTTTTAGAAATGTCTTCTGTCTTCCGCGCACTCTTCCTCACTTTTTTGTCCAGTGTAGAGTTTTGTAGGTTGTGTTCAGATCCCCTTTTGGTTGATCATCCTAGCACTGCACTGCAGTGGTTCATCCTCTGCTTCACTGTCTTCTTCTCTCTCCTCTATCTGCTGCCGTGTCCGTCTAGATCCATCCCTCTTCTTGTTTCCTCCTCGTTCCTGATATGGTTATGCAGGTTTCTTTGCACATCGCTTTCAAAGAGTTCCAGCGTTCTTCCACACAGGTTTCCTCGGAGATGTTGCTCAATGTCTCCCGTTTCGTCCTGATGACTGACGTGAAGACGTGCTTTTTAGTTTCGTACTTCAGATTCTATTTAACTTTAGCTGTGGTCGATCAGCAGCTTCCTTGAATTGAAGGTTTCCAACTTGATTTCGAAGGTAGGTTGTTTGCACTAGACAGTGAGTGGTGTGAACCTACATCTGCTCCCGTTCTTCTTCTGATCTTGTATCCAGTAGGCTGTTTGAGTCTCCACATTCTTCACATTGAGATGAAATCGATCTGATTTTTAGTGTGTCCTGGTGTCTGGTGAGATTTGTATCGCTGCCTTGTGAATATCTTTGCGTTTGTACACTGCTTCCAATCACCAAATCGTTGAATGCACAGATTTCTGCAAACAGTTCTGCATTCTCGTTCATCATTTCAACCGAGTGCTTCTCGACCCATGATTAGTTCTCTTTCTGTGTTGTCTGATCCCAGTTTGCCATTCATATCAGCCCACCCATCAGAATGGATTTTGATGTCGCCAACTGGGTTGTGGTCTTGTCCAGTGTTGATTGCAGTTGTCTGTATAATTCTTTCTTCTTCTCTTGATCTGCATTATTTGTAGGTGCATGGCGTAGCATTGTATGATTGTGACTTTCTTTCCTTTTGAATTGAAGCTTACTGTCATGATCCCGATCGTTGAGCAGATTGGTTTTCACTGCATGACAGCCTACAATAATGTTGAGGACATCATGATAGCCACTCTCTCAGTGTGCTCATGGTTGTCGTCTGAGTGACAATATTGGAGTAGATTATTAGCTCTCCAGTTGACAGTTTGGAGAGTTCACTTCCATTCCATCTGCAAATTTCTCGCAGATTCCCAGCCTAGCACTTTTATGCTATACCTCCTCATCTCTTTGCAATCTGGGCTGCCTTGTGAGTTTCATACATGGTGTGGACATTCCATGTCCCAATGTTTACTTTCGCTTTCATCGAGAGAAGACACATCGCCCGATTGGCTTCCCGAAGGCTTTCATCAACCGGCATCATTTCGTCCCTCCGATTCTAGCGAGGGATAAGTTTAATTTTCTTTTTTTATTTTGTTTGCGCTTTGAAATTTCTTTCGCGGTTAGATTGGTTTTCCATGGTAGGGTTGCTGGCTCTATGCCCAACCTTCCCTGTTTATCCAAGCTTAAGATCGGCTATTAACAAGTTAACTAGTTACCTGGAGGAGGTTGTACAGAAATGTACTAACATGAAACTAGTTGCTCTGCAGTGATCAATCAATACATGTAATCCAGTCCTACAGGAGATCAGTCGTAACCCCAATAGGTCAGTGACGTCTTTGACAGCAGCACTAGGTTTCATGTGTTCATATCTCGAAAAAAAAAAAAAAACAAACGGAATAAAAAAATAGAGGTGAAGGACCCCCCAAAAAACACAGGAATAAGAACCTTGATTAGGGGGAAGAGATAAAAAAGAGGCTCTTCGAAGAGGTCAGCGAAAGATTTACACAAGTTTGGTGAGATGGCGCAAGTTCAAAAAAATAAATCGCCAAAGCAAAAAAAAAAAGACTGGAACGAACCAACCAAGAACCTATCACGCAACAAATATGCAGGAAGAAGTGGAGATGGATTGGCCATGCACTGAGAAGGCCGACTGAGGACATCACGCGTCAGGCCCTCGAGTGGAATCCCCATGGGAAGCGACGAGTTGGACGTCCGAGGGTGACATGGAGGAGGTCGTGCGAGGAGGAAATGAGAGCTTGTGGGCTGTCGTGGGACCAGGTTCAAAAGATCTCAGAGAACAGAGGTCACTGGAGGCGTGCTACTGAAGCCCTGTGTTCCACTAGGAACCCAAGGGACTAATAATAATAATAATATCTCGGGCCTGACATCAATTATCACGAATTTCCAGATACATCTCGCTGATGAGTGCCAACAACCATGAAATCTAGGTCCAGAGCTTCCTGCTGATTTCCTTCAACCAGCTGACATTCATCAAAGTACACCTCGGTGGTGAGGCTCCTAGCTTACTGGCCACCTTGCAAAATGAACGATAAATTCAATCACTGCTATGGACTAGACTAAATGAGACTGATTTCTCTCTAGTGATCAACCAACGTGTGTTCCTCCTACTTACACTTTGGTATCCAGCATCCTTAGAAGTGATCGAAATTTTATATGTATATATATCGTTTGTGTGGTGTTAGTTGTTTTTTTGTCTAAAATGCCCTGTAAAAACAATATAATTCAAAATCTTTTTACAGCTGTCTTTGTATACTAAAGAGAAAAGCTGTACAGATGTAATACTTTACACCACTGGACTTTATGGGTTTACACAACAGGTACACACATGCAAACAGACAGACGCACACATGTCTCTATTGCTAACATCAAATTTTTGAAAAGACAAAGAACTTTGACTAGATTGGTGCTCTGTCATTGCAAAGTAGGCAAATTAGTGTCTAAATAAAATTTTAAAAAACTGCATTTTAAATACATCATGTGAAAAGCAAGGTGAAAGCAAAACACCAGTCTTCAAAAAAAGCAAATAAAAGCAGAGTGACATTCTTTTGGCTGTAAAGTAATTGTGAAAATAATGACTGGATTTAGGAGGTTGATTTAAAGAACACGTAAAACACTGATATAAATTTTTATACATAATAGGAAGTTATGGGCTGTCATCACTAAATGTGCCTTGTAAGACTCATTCACACACAAGTGAACTATAGATTCACTGATCAAGAGTGAGAAGCAGAAGTGAACAAGCGAAACAGAAGAAAAATACATTAAAAACTATGGTCAAATGGAGGTGGTGCATTATGGAGAATAGGGGATGAATAATTGAAGAGGAGCAAAAGAAATCGACATATTTTGGCTCAATGCTATGTGGTACACACTAATTGGGTCCAGCTAGAGCCTATGAAAAGTCGATACTCACTGAATAGTCCAAGCTAGTGTTGCTAATTCAGAGGTAAAGTTGCATATTAGTAATCTTCATGATTACAACATTGGCCGATACAAGTAAGACTAAGGTTTTAGTTGTCAGTGCCTAGACCCTGTGAACGGTTGTCTATTCCTTCTAGTGAACTTTTCTTAGTATTCGAGTAAAAACGTCATTGCTGAAAGACATTTAGCACAGTTATCACATGTTCATCTCTGAAGGGAAGACCTACAAATAGTACCTACCAACTTGTGGATCGAACTGAATGAAAGCGAGAAAGCGATAACTTATTATTTATGTATCGAATTAATGCAAAGTAAATGTAATACAAATGAATAACACCCCATTCTTAGAATAACGTGAAAATTGTCCTGACGAAGTTTACTTATCCTTAAAATAAACCAGTATATGAATTTAAAAATAAACGAATGGTGTAAATTCGCTAACAGTCTGTTCTGATTGCTATAATGGAAACATCGTCCATCAATCGAACATAGTACTTCAAATTTATGATGTTTTAAATGGTCAGTTAGTGTTAGTATGTGAAACTTCATTAGTGCTGGAATTAAGTTTGATTTCATCGAATAAAGCTTTATCTCCAATTTCTTGAGAGATGATGGGTACATCAGCTTTTATCATGGAATTATACTAGATAGTCTCAAAAAATTATGGATTTTGATATTAGTCTGGTGAAAAATTTACCTTCAAACTAGAGATTATTTAGAAATCACTTTCTATCAGATAATATTTTTAATCCTTACCGGAAATGTTGAATGAATCTCATAAATTTCAAGAACTTTGTTCAGATATTTTGAATTGGTAAATGGTCCAGCTTCTTTACGTAGCGTTGAACGTTTATTCCATCTGAAAAAGGTTCATGAAAGATGAACTTATTTAGTTTACTTTTCTAGGTTACGACAACGATATTTAAGGATTACTTTTAGCTTATAAATAAAATATATAATCCAACTACCCAATGCTCAACCTATTCAACTATATCAGGTCAAATTTTGATCCTGAAGTCTACAAATACTTTTAGCTTGTTTGTCATTTGAATCTATTTTGGAGTCTAGTTTACAATCCTGGTCGTCGGTTTTAATGCATTCATACCCCTTCAGTTTTAGACGGTTTCATTGCTTAGAATAACAGTAAACATTCTAAGTAAAAACTGAAAATCACTCCCTAACTGGTATGCACTCTTGAACAAATAAATAGTTAGTCTTTAAATAAGTGATACTTATCAAGAACAAGATATTCAACGAAGAGACTATTTTCAACAAATTTATTTTCTAGCTGTACAATCGTATATATATGATATTTGGAAAAAATTATATCCTGTGAGGAAAACTAAACACTACATGATGATGACAATAATAATGGAGCGGATGATGATATAGGCATTTGTGATTATAATAACAATTGAAGTATGAATGATAACAAATAGATTATGTAATGTATGGAATAATACATAGAGAGTATATAACTCAGAAGAGGGTGAAAATATTGTTAAAAATGGTTAAGTTTACTAAACTCGAAGGTGAGCCCAATAAGACACATAAATTGAAACACAACTCACAAATGTCTTAAAAAGCATGGGGGATAAATCAATAATTGATCCTGATTTATACGAACGTATCCGACCGGTTGGCTCTATAATCCCACGTCTATATGGACTACCGAAGATATATAAAGCGGGATTACCTCTTCGTCCGATCCTCGATATGGCTGGTTCTCCTTATCACCGAACTGCTCAATGGTTAGCTGAAATTCTGGAACCTGTTAGAAGGCAAGTATCGAGTTTTTCTATCCGTGATACATTTCAGTTTGTTGAGGGTATTAAGGATTTTAATGCTCTAAACAAGATGATGTTTTCATTAGACGTCACTTCATTGTTCACGAGTGTGCCACTCACCGAAACTGTCTGTTATGTATGTGACTATATTGATGCACATAATTTAGACGTAGGACTACCAACGAGCTGCTTGAAAGAGCTTTTGTTGAGGTGCACATTTAATGTCCAATTCAGTTTCAATAATGAAATCTATAGACAGAAAGATGGAATTGCGATGGGGTCACCATTGGGACCACTGCTAGCAGATTTCTTCATGTCGAAACTAGAAAATTCACAACTTCGTCAAACTATTGATAGCTTTGACTTTTATAGAAGATATATGGACGACACGTTTGTTATTTGCGACAAAAATGTAGACCTCGACGATGTGCTTCGTTCATTCAATGAATGTCATCAAGCCCTCAAGTTTACTATAGAGAAGGAATCAGAATCAACTATTCCTTTTCTTGATGTGCTTCTCACCCGACGTCAGAATGGATACCTTAAAAGATCCATCTACAGAAAACCAACGTGGAACGGACAACTAACTAATTTTTATAGTTGGGTGCCCATCAACAGAAAAAGAAATCTTATTCCTCTCTTTGCTATCGAATAAGAAGTATCTGTAGTGACGATTGTATCGATAAAAAGCTATCTTTTTAAAAAGCATACTTGTCGAAAACGGTTACCCTAGCCGTTTTATTGATAAAAATATGCGGGAAAGAAACACTAAACCAGTCATCCACTCGGTCTCAAAGAAAAGATTGTTTATGAGCCTAGAGTTTAAAGGAGACCTAGCATCGGATGTACTGAAGAATCGTCTTACCAGATCAATCAATAGGACTTTCTTCGCAGCAAGACTCAGTTGACTTTTACCAGCCGCAACCTATTCTCCACCTGCGTTAAAGACAAGCTTCCTCGTTTGGCCGCCTCTATGTGCATCTACCAGTTCACCTGCTCTTGTGGAGCAAGGTACATCGGCCGTAGCCAGAGAATGCTTTCTACACGTATACGAGAACATGTTCCTGCTTGGTTTTATAAAGGTGAAAGAAAGTCTGTTAGAAGTTCGATTCTAGAACATTTGATTGACTTCCATCACACAACAAATCCAGACGATGACTTTGAAATTATTTATCAAATTCGCCCAAACCTCCCACGTTCTCTTCGTTTTCAACTCCTTAAAACAGCGGAGGCTTTAGCTATTCATGAACTAAGACCTGATCTGTGTGTACAAAAGAAGTATGTGCAGTCACTGTCTTTATCATGGCCATAACATTTTCCCACCCCATTAGCTCCCCCTCCCACTTTGTTAATTTAACCTTTGTATCCTTCCTTTATCACTATTATTGTTATTATAATCGCCTTCACTTCAACTAGTTTCCGGTGTTGTTTCACTTAATTGTCTTAATCCTTTTAGAAAACATTGACTTCATCTTGTCCAATTTGTCTAATGCCATTACATAATACTTAATTGATTTACCATTTTCAAAAATTTTTCCCCTTATCTGAGTTATATACTCTCTATGTACCATTCCATATATTACATAATCTATTTGTTATCATTCGCACTTCAATTGTTATTATAATCATAAATGCCTATGTCATCATCCGCTCTATTATTATTGTCATCATCATGTAGTGTTTAGTTTTCCTCACAGGATATAATTTTTTCCAAATACCATATATATACGATTGTACAGCTAGAAAATAAATTTGTTGAAAAGAGTCTCTTCGTTGAATATCTTGTTCTTGATGTTACAATGGTAATTAATAAATGATACTTATGTCAAATGAGTGGCTGGTTAGGATTAAATGAAGCCAGATAGCCTATTAGAATCAACATAGATCTGACGACTTTCTACTTAAGTGCATGGTTCACGTTGACGTTATATTTAACTAATCGCTGAAGTATCATATCCTGATAAGTGATACTTTGTATAAGTCATTCACATCATTGTTATCTAAGTTGTTGAATCTTTAAATCAGCATAAGTGATTTCTAAGCATTTTATTTTGTTAGTTCCCAATATTACTGCATGAGATATCACAATCAGTGATCAAACCTAGTAAGCTTTTACTAAAGATACCTTTTCGTGAAACAGTTAAGATGCCCATTAACTACCGGTTTCTTTAGAAATGTTTGTGTAGCTGGTAAATAATTCGAAAATTGATCATATCTTATGCATATAACTAGTTTCTGAATCCAGAAGCGTTTAGTTAATAAAGTTAATATTCTAATAGATAGTTGATCAAGCGTTAGAATTAGTTGACTTTTGACTGTTACTACAGACAATAAATTCTGTCCGAAACGTAACGCATTAAATAATACTGTTCAACTGTGATACGTTTAATAAATCAACTAAAATGGAATTACATTCTACCACATTACCAAAGTTCTACTCTAATATTGATAAGATTGAACCGATTCGTAATAAACAGCCTTTCTGTTGTTAGTATAAATAATTTGTTATACATAAAGTGAAGTTATGCCTAACAAAACAAAACTTCAGGGCAAAAAATAACGCGATTTATAAGTTGAGTAAACATGTATCTCGATCAGTTATTTACCGCTGATAGTTGAACTGCCAACCGACCAATATCTAATTTTAAAATGAAACCAACGCACGACTCACTAACCATGTAGACTTTCACGTAGTAGACAATCTGCTATACCTATTTTGTGACGGCTATGTACGCTTCGCGATCTCAATACATGGAGGAGAGTTCAAACTCCTAACCAACTGGTAAAAATTTAAGTGTGCAGATAAATGAGTCACAACTACATTTACCTATCAATGTATTAAATGTAATTAAGGTTTGGGTGGGAATCATTTTTTTAGTGATGACATTCACGTTAATGCCTCTTCAGACTAGCTGGTTGAACCAGTTCTTTAACTAACGTCCATGATGCCATCAACTTGACATAGTTGACTGGTGACCATTCCACGACCAAGTGGATGCGATTAGAAAGCGGAACTTCAAGCGCATTGACTATACATGTATTTTCAGTGATATTCAGAATAACGAATCAGAATAGTGTCATGGAAGCAATGAATAAAGACAGTAACTTATGTTCAAAAGTGCTACCAAGAAAAGAATATTATAATTTGATCTTCAAGCATGGAACAGTTTATCATAGGTAGTACGAGGGTTATCAGTCAACCAATAAACTATCATTTATGAATGTAGGTCTGTACTTTATCCCCTCCAATCGTGGTACGTCTCTCTCAAAACAATGGGCATGAACTTAGTGAAAGAAGAGTCAAAATTTGTATTTTGAACTGAACAAAAGTTCTCCATGCATTGGTTTTAGAATAATTGTCGTTTCTGCATGAAGTAATATTTTAGGTCAGCTTCTGAAGGATTATTACACCTCAGAATTTAAAAACTAAACGTACATTTACAAGGAAACAGTTGGCTGACTAACTTTGTCCATGAGGATGGCATTTTTTGCGATTGCGTATAGAAACCTGAGAGATGTGCTTCCTTCTTATCAGTTCTCAAACTGAGAATATTACTGTTCTCATTGACACTTATACCCAACACTTAAAATTCTAATGACTAGGTGTTTAGAGTTAAATGAGGTGAAAAACGAAATCAAGTTTTCAGACTTTTGAGTCCTCATCAACACGACATATCTAGGGAAATCCATGCCATTTCAATGTGCTTGAAACTGAATTATTCAATCTTGAAGTCTCATTTCCTTATCAAACTACTATCAAGGTTGACTTTCTACATCACTCAGTTATGTTTACGCCTATTGCCTCTCGCTATGAACATGAGGATTATATTCGCGGTCATCCGACGGTCAGTCCGTTTATCGTATGTGACTTCCAGACTAAGTGAATACAATTTATATCTTCAAGGGGATATGAGTTTCTTTGGAGTGCAGATATCTATTGATAGTGAGTTCTAGTAAAAAAGAAACACAGACCCAGTGATTCCTACCAAATCTCCTCCAGAATTTACCTCAAAATACATTCTATCGAAATTTCACTAAAGTAGTTGTACTTCATATTCAACATATTTCGGTC